TGCTGAGGAAACTGAGGATGTTGTTATCCAAACTGGACAAACAATACATCCTCATATGTCTAGACAAAATAGCTTTGGTATGTTTTTATAAAGCCGACAAATTAATAATTGTTCTAAAACATGCTTTCTAGATCCATTCTAAGTGTTTGGGAATAGCCTAAATCGTTACTTTGTTCATATCCTGCCCCCACTCCTGTTTGAGTCGCAAATTAATCTCCCTTTTCTACTGTCAATCATTTATTTCCTTACTTTTTTAATGCCAATAATTTTTTCCTTCAAATGTGGGATACCCAAAAGGGTGACGGCCATAACGGCGCAAAGCCATAACCTTCTGGAATATTTCTGATCCTTGTCATTTTTGGTATCAATCTTTTTAGCTCGGTGAGAGGAATCGTTTAATATTAATTTTGGTAACTCAAACATGAGTGGAGGGGGGGGGGCAGGATATGAACAAAGTACCCCGAAATCTTACTGGGTTTAAAACTTTCAAATGTGTCCATTTGCTGTATATAAGGTCTGTGAATACAATGGTATCCGTATCCGATATCACGATCGAAAATTTCTGGATATCCTGAGTTTTTTCAGATCCGGATATGAAACTATGGCTATTACAGACTATAGATCTAATATTAATTACTTGCAGACCAACGCTACCCACTAACTCAGTACAAATTGACCGTAGACTTCGAATGTAGCCGGTATTACCCAATTAATGATATCATCAGTCAAAGAAAATCCTTGATATTAATTCTCAAGGAAATTAATTCAAAAACTAAAGGGATTAAACAAGAAGGAGATGCAGACAAAATAATTGATAATATTCCATTTATGAAAATTTATGAAATAATTCTGCCTCTCCCACAATGGCGTAGAGCTGAACTAACACATGTGTATTGCAACAAAGTGTTGAGAATTTATAATGTAAGTAATCTTTTTTCTAGGGGATTTTTGGTATTTCATAACATAAGTAATATGTATGAACATTCGAAAATCGGGCAAATTTAAAAATAATTCCAAGAGATCGGGCTGACTAAAAGGTTTATTAATGTAAGGATGATTCACCTAGAGCAGGATGATTCACCTAGAGCGGTGGTTAAGCATTAGTCGATGCTCCGGTAGCTCAGGTAGCTCCTATATGTGGTGAGCGAAAGCATGGAATAACTACGAGGAGTTCGCCCGGTGAATCCTGCCCGGTGGCTAAACTCTTTAATTAAAACGAAAGATTAAATTTAAAATTTGCTTGTATTTAAGGAGGATTTGGTCAAATGCTTCGATAAAACATTTGCTGGTTATCAGACAAATTCAAATTCAAGAATGTCATTGTTGAGAAAGCTTGTAAATGACAAGCACGAAGAGCTGGCAAAAATTATTTACGATATTTTGATAAAAGGTTGGAATATTCTTGGCTAATTTTTATTAGATTGAGCTATAAGATATTCTTAAGACAAACTAAAAAAATTTAAAATTGAAGTTAAATTTATAATAGAAATTAAAATTTCTCAATAATCCTAGGAGGATTTTCTCAATTACCATTCCTCAAATATTTTTCCTAGATAAATTACATCCTAGATGTGTGAATGAATAAATACCCAGTGAGGTTGACCGATCAGGATGTCCCGATCCGAAAAAAGGCCGGATATTTAAAATTAAGTAAAGCAGCAGGGCTATAGCTATTTCTCTACTTTAGCTAGAGCAAAAGGTTATTCGGCGGCTGGGAGCGAACCAGCATCTTCAGTAGACCGGACTGATGTGTTAGCCATTACACCACGCCGCCTACTGCTCAGCCTTAGGAAATTAATAGCTACATATATGCTTTACAATTATCAGATGAGGAACCGGATATCCAAAAATTTTCTATTATCCGACAACCTTACTAGTTCCTTATAACAAGGGTATAAGGAAATTATGTAAGCCTAAACAAAGTGAGGCTGGAATATTTGTGAGAGTGGAAAAATAAAATATTTTATATCCCACAAAATGAGACCTATTGAAAAATAAGACCAAGGCTTCAGAGCATTTACATACTGTATTTTTTCCATAGAACCACTTTATGACAATTCAAATGAATCCACTTTAAATGAAAGTGATTTCGATACTTTATACGACATTATTTTGGCACGTCCAAAATTTGAATTGAACAAAATTATTCTACATTACGACAAAATATTTGCAACCAAGGTAATATACGATAGGGGAACGAAATTGGGATTTTCAAATTTTATTGCACAAATGAAAAAAAGAAATATTTCAAACTTGGAAATACATTTACATTACAAAAAACATCTGGAAAGACCTAACAGCGAAAATGTCGAAATCTTAGATATTCTTATTAAAAGGGTTGAAACATTTGACAAAATATTCAGCGATGAAGCATTTAAAAAGGTGGGCGATAAATTAAAGTTTCAAGCCATTTTCTGGGTTAGTTTGGTAAAAATATACCGTAAACATACATCGAATATGAAAATATTTAGATCATTGGGGGGTAGAGGCTGATCCAACTACCTCCATCCTCGCCAAAAATATCGTAAAGATTAGAGTTCAGCGGGATCAGAATCCCGGTCGGGATCGGGCGGGATTATCTCGGGTTTTTCGAATCCCGATCAATGATTTTTCAGTTCCGAGACAGAAAGATGAGCAATCCCGATCCGTGTTTACTCCATATCCCGATACCGCTAAATCTAGCAAAGATACCCACATATTTATGAGTTAAACAATAGTCAAGCTACAACCTAATCAGAGGCGGGATGAGCTTCAGTAGTTGATATCATTCTAAATCTCTTCCATGACTTTATTTCCTAAATGGGTTCATCAAATTTACGTGATACTTTGACATCCCAACAATATTAAAAATCTTTTTCCAGATTTCCAATTACATAATGTCATTCTGCGTGGATTTAAACAGGGCTATAAAAGGCTATATAAATATTGGTGGAAATGAAGTATTTTCCAGATTCACTGACAATTTTGCAAAACTCATATTAAATTTAAATTTCAAATCAGAAAGCGCATTAAAATTTTCTGATAGATTTTTTAATAAATGCATTGAGGAAAGTGTAGATTTTCAGGAAACTCAGAAAAGGAAGGCCATGTTGCAAAGATCTATGATCATTGCAGGCGAATCAATGGGGTAAAATAATTTATTGACTATGCGAATTTTTCTTATAAATAGGGAGGGGGATCATGGGTATGATCAATATCAACCCCCTAAATAGGTAGTTCAGTTAAATGCTCCAAACATATATACAACTAAGTCTCGCAAGACACCTCTATCTAGTACATAAGTTAGCGAGATTTAATTAGAGTTGGGCGGGATCGGGATCCCGACGTAAAATCGGGATCGGGATTTTGGAATGATGATCCCGATCCCGGTCCCGATCCCGACTGCGGGATCGGGATTGGACGAAATCGGGATCGGGATTCGGAATAATGATCCCGATCCCGGTCCCGATCCCGACTCGGGATCGGGATTGAAAAATCGGGATCGGGATTTAGTTAAAAAAAATTTTCAAAATTTAAATTTTTATTTACATTGCATATACCTCAATATAATTCCATAATTTTCATCTGCTGTGCTGAAATATTGATTTTAAGTCCCAGCGCGCATTTGTTCTTGGCGTATCAGGGATTAAGGAGGAGGGATAAAGTATTAACGATAAGGTGATTCTGATGGATTAAGAGGGATATCGTTGATTAATGAGATATTGGGATCTAGATGGACATCTAGGATATCCATTATATCCGTTCAAATCCATTCCGTCGATAGTTTTATAAATGAGTCTCTTCTTATTCACCGCCGGAGGCAAAAATTTTGAAAAATTTCAAAGATTCTCAAGCCAAAATCTTCATTTTTAGCGCCGCAGGCGAAAATTTTGAAAATTTTGGATGGCGTAGAAGCCAAATTGCTTTCTTTTCAGCTCATTAATTTATATTTTCATTAATTTATAAAATCCCGATTTCATCGGGATCCGATTGCTAATCCCGATCCCGGTCCCGATCCCGGCTCGGGATCGGGATCGGCCAAAACCGGGATCGGGATTTGTCTTTCGGGTTCGGGATCAGAAAAATCGGGATCGGGATTCAAAAAAACCGGGATAATCCCGCCCGATCCCGACCGGGATCCCGATCCCGCCCAACTCTAGATTTAATTGTATACTAGATGGGAAGCTGCCTACGCGATACCCCTATTTAAAGTAACCTTCATTATAAGAGGATTTTTTATGTCTCCAAAGGTATTAAAGCTGGACCTTTATAATGAGGTCCAGCTTTAATCGTTTTATCTAATTTTAAGAAATTACTTTTTATTAAAGATTAAAGTTTCCTGAATATTTAAAACGAATGTTAATTATAACCGGATTAACAGGAAAAAAGAAGTACAGAATGGATATTGCCAATCGCATGAAGCTTTACATTGAACAGAATAATAACACGAGTAATAATTTAGATTATAGTAATTGATATATTATAGTTACTCGATTAATTAATCTCGCCAATTATTGTTAAAAAATTGATAAGAGGGGAATTGTTTTTATTTAGCTCTGGAGGATATCATCCTTTTTCGAGATTTGCTTAAGTTTTTAAACATTAGATTAAGATACATTGTCAAAGTAGAAGGTAATAATAAGGCTAAGGGAACGGCAGGGCTAAGGAAGAGATCAAGGGCCAACTGTGCTAGTATCATCCATGAGACCAATGCCTTTATACTATCATAAGCCGACTGCTTATATATACATAATAGTGACACCAGTGCTGGGTATTGGACTTTTCTCCGGCTCTGACCTTTTTCACCCTTTAGCTCTAGCTCCGGAGCTAGCACCTAGAGCCATACATATAACCCCATTAAAAATATAGAGGTCAATCCAATGGAGCTATCATCGAGTAAATATAGTTTCTATATATTTAATTTAAACCAGAATTAATGAATCTGATTGTAATCCACTATGGAACGGATATGTTTGAGGCAATAAAAAGTATGGAAGAGTTGTTTGAAGAAAAAAAATAAATGAAGATTTAGCGTTAAGAGAATCGGTTGAATTAAAGACAAGGAAAGTTCAATTAGATATAAAATTGAGAGAGGAAGAATTGAAGGATAAAGACAAGAAGGATGAAATAAGGAATAAGATTAAAGAGATTGAGTTGGGAAATAAAATAGAAGCAAAAAAATTAGAGGAAGTTGAATTGAAGAAAAAATTGAAGAAAGGAAAAGGAAATATGGAAGGATTGAAAAATCAGTTGTTTGAACTAAAACAAGAAATTTTTGAATTGAATATGGAGTTGAGAGGAATGGAGGTGAAGAGTAAATTGAAGGAAATTGTATCGAAGATAGAGGATTTGGAAAAAGAGGTGACAGATGATTTAATGAAACTAAGCTTGGAACAAGAAGCCTTGGAATTAGAATTGTTAAGTAATTTATTCAAACTAAGAATTGAGAGAGAAGAGTTGAAAAATGAACTGGAACAAACTGAACTAAAAAACAATCTTAGTAAGGTTAGCCGGAGAATTGGAGAATTACAATTTCAAAATAACAGGTACAATTAGAATATTGGAATGCATGGATTAAATAGGCACATACTAACCATTACTAATCAAACTGAAAAAATCTGTCGCCGATTTTGCATTTTGCCATCCGAGGATTTCATTATTTTGAGTTTTTAGTACAACATTCCGCGTTATGCTTTGATTCCCTGACAGGGTTGGCTTCAAAACTAAATGAAATTTTACAGCTTTTTTATTATAACATTGAATGAGTTTAGGCTGTAGCACAATCGACTGGCTACCTAGTAGAGAGACTCTCGGTCTCTCGATCTCGACTCTCGGGTCGAGTCTCGATCTCGGGTCGACTCTCGGTCTCGGGGTTGATTCTCGGTCTCTACTCTCGAGTCTAGGCTTTTTTTTAACTCTCGAACATCACAACTACCTACCACCAGTCCGACAAGGAATTAAATTTATTTATTGATATCTTTCTGCATGTACGCAGCTTAACTTGTTCTTTCCTGAATTTTTCCGGTGATTGATGAAAAGGGTCAGTAGGAGTCATTTTAATCATTAAAATCTCATATACTAGGGCGGATAAAGATGAAATATTAAAAGAAAAAACTAGAGAACAATTAATAAAGCTGTCTAAAGAGGAAGAAAATTTGAGGAAGGAGATGGATAAAAGGGAAGAAGAATTGAGAGAAGAATTGGAGGAAGAATTAGGGAAGAAGAAAGGGTTGATTGGACGATTAAATATCGGGGGAAGTAAAATAACGGAAGGATTTAAAAAATTGGATAAAGGGAAAGGAAAAAGTAAAAAAATGTTGCAGAAATTGAAAAAAGAATTGGACAAACTGACTTTAAATGAAACCAAATTGAAGGAGGAGCAAAATAAAAATGATGAGAAATTGGCGAGAGTCGAAGGAATATTGGCACAAACTAAACAATTGAAAAAAATTGATGGCAACATTTACGGCATACTCTCGTTCCTTAAATATACATTGTCTTCAAAATGTAGCAAGGCTTGTTGTGGAGAAATTGAAGAGGAATATGAATGGGAGCGAAGATTGGGAGAGTTGGAGTATGAGCATGAAGGTATTTTGCAAGGTTATAATGGGAACAGGATATATTAGATGCCTGACGGCAGTTGGTGAAGTCTGCTTTCTCGCAGGTTCTGTATGCATGACACCCTAACAGTTGTCTCTCGTACATAGAAGGAAATCTGGTCCAGCTTTTAGTAAATCACGACTTAACTCAAGTCCATAAAGCTTACGCCAATCCCCACCGCCCGACCCTATATCCTCGTTCAGGTCCAATTTGGAGTTAAAAACATTACAAAAAAGTTTAAAAAGTGTAGACAAGGTGTATTTTATATGGGAGGTATTGCGCTTAGGCATCTCTTCCGACATAATGTTGGGGATTTTGTGAATGTTTAAAATAAAGTTAAACTGTATTTTAATAAAATTATTAAGTGAAAATCGAAAAGAACAATTCCGATAATTCGTTTGAAACCAAAAAACAATTTTGTGAAAAATTTGAAAATTTTAAACTAAAATTTGAAGAAAAATATCCACAAAATGGAATAGAAAAAAGATTAGATTTTGAGACTGTGAGTGAATGGAAGGACGGTAATAAAGAAGATTCAATCGGAAAACGAATTGATAAATTGATCAAGGAATGTTTAGAATTTAAAAAGGTGTTTAATAAAGTTTGGCTCTTAGACCTTCACGATATTTGCACCTGAGGAGCGCTGTTAAGAACGCGGCTTAACTCTAAGATTGACACAGTCTAGATAGGCCTAGGAGGGACAATAACTTCCCGAACTGAACTACCTGAACCACCTTACTACTCCTTCGGTGTAGTTAAGCATAAATAACTCCAACTCCATAAATAACCAATAACACTCCAATCACTACTCACCCATTTGTTGTAAGAGAATATAGGTTTCTGGAAGGTTCTGAGGCTATAATAAGTAGTTTTTTTATTAATTATTTTCTGACCGGAACCGGTCCAATTTGAATTCAGGTTCCCGGAACCGGGCCAAAAAAAACAACGGAACCTTCAGGAACCGAAACTTCAGGCGAAACTCTAATAATAAGCCGGTTCCGACCTTTACCGGTTTCACGGTTCCGGCCCTCCAGACCTTTGCTGGTTCCATGGTTCCACTTGCAGAACCGGTTCCGGAACCGGAACTGGAACCTTTCCATCATTGCCAATAAGTGTTGTTTTACAAACAGTATTAATCAAATACTATTTAACTGTTAAGATGCAAAAGCCGGATATGAAAAACAAACAGCCAGCTGTTTCTGAAGAATATTTTGATTCCGAGGAAGCTTTTGAAAATGAAGAAAAACAATCTAGTGTTAAAAATTTTTTTTCAAAATATTTAAAAAATTAGTAAATTTTAAATTCATTGCAAAAGAATTGTATTAAATTTGTAATTGATAAACATTTTGAGATTTAAATTCTTTCACTTGGAGTTTATAAAATAATTCAACAAACATCTAATTTAAGGGGATTCAACAAACATTTAAAACCACGTGTTTATTAAAATGCCCAGCACCTCGTGTTTTTTCATGCGAGTGCGTAAAGAGACTTGGCCTTCGACCTCTATGAGGGATTGAGAGTAAGGAGAGACTTGCTTGTCAATATTCAGGCATTCGCTAGATAGACAAAATATACATATATTTTTATCTATATCTTTGACTCTCGCTAATATGAGTAAGAAATGCTAATCAAAGTTTTCTTGAGGAAAAGTTTTTCAAAACAAATTTTCAAATATTCACGAACAACTTTGATAAATTGCATAGCATCTGAGCAACATAAAAATTGAAAAAAACATTCCTTAAATCTTCTTGAAAAATATAAATTCCCCCAACTTTCGATTTTCAATTACCCGCTCTCCCCTCTCATTTTTCCGCTGACTCATTTTTCCTCTATAACTCCTGTCTTCATGGGCATCAAACTACATTCTTGTCCAAAAATAGAAAAATTTAAATCTTGCGACTTCGCGACGCATCCTCCTCCCCATAAATTCAATCACGCTGCTCTCCTCTCTTAATCGAGCAAATCCCCTCAACCTCTCTCCTCATCACTAAAAAATTTGCCCATCCTGCCTTGCCTTACCTCCTTAAAAATTAATAATTTTTAATGACAGCCTTTTAAAAATTTTCTCTATATACACAGTCTACAATCAAGCTCCCCTCCATATTTTTACATAATTTTTTATTAACTCCCCTCATAGGCAGCTTCTCATTTAAATTTTCTAAATTTATTAAAGTTCTTCAACAACCTATGCGTCTGTTAAAACTGTTTCTTTTATTTAAATTAATTTTATTTGTTTGTTTGAGTGATTGTGCTCGAGATGATAAAGCGGAATCTTCTGGGGCCTCTAAAGATGGTAGGTCATTAATACAAGCAACCATCTTCTATTTAGTTACATTATGTCGATGTATATCAGGGATGGATCGGATACACCCTAAACTCCTAGAACACCCTAGAATTATTAAAAATTAAAATATTTGTTAAATCGAAAAATTTATTTTTTCATCCTAAAAAAGTTGGAGCTTCTGAAGCCGATTCATCCATAATGTAGATGCATATAGCACACATCCTGGAGACCATAGCAAGCTTTTAAAAGGTTTCAAAACGCAAAATATGTATAGTGAGAGTTGCTTCTATGGATGCGTCTAGAGAGCATACAGTTCTTAACTATCTAGAAGCACCCATTAGGGGAAATAAGCTTTTATCCAGTGAAATACGATAATCCATAAATTTATTTTTGTTTTAAAATTCTCAGTTCCGCAACTTCCACCATATGGTTTACATGAATGTAGCCGTTTCCATACAAATACTGAAGGTAAAGATGGAAGGAAAACTTTGGTTTCAATTCTCAAAGATATCAAAACATCGGAACAACCAAAAGAAACTCAGTGGTATTGGATAAACAAATTGTTTTTGCCTCTTCCACAGTGGCGTAGAGAGGAAACAGCATTATTATACTGCAAGAATGAGTTGGAAGTGGAAGTTGAAGTAATTTATTTAAAAAAAATAAACTCGGATGATTTTTTTATATAAATAAGCTATGGGAAAATTGATGCCTCGCCAAGGCTGGTAACCTCGCTGATTTTTCAACCTTAACTTTGATTTACCTGAACACGACCTCGAACCTCGACCATAATCGTCAAGAGGATTAAGGCTCCCTAAGAATTGATATTTTTGTATTTGAGATTGTTCTATTAAAAGATGTTTTTTAACAGCTGGTGAAGTTAGCTTAAAACCTTCTTTACTGATTTGATTTATCAAAAACAAGTCCCTAAATACCTAATTTAAACATCTTGTTAATTTATAGTATGATTTGTCCATTTGTCTTCAATATATTTTTGAAAAATTAAATCTGCCAGAAAATAAACAACGAAGATTCAAATTGTTTGAATGGTTTAAAGAACAGAGTATTAAAAAAGAATCCCCAATGTATGAAGAGTTTAAAGACGGTATGATAGCAAAAGAACAATCTAAATTATTGGAATTGCTGATTAAAGACAGAAATGAATCACTCGCTTTTCTACTTCGTTACACCTTGTATTCAAGTGAAATTTAAACAGATTTAATTTTAAAAATCCAAAAAATATTTTTTAGCTTTTCCACCAAAGTTTGATATTTTATACGAAATTATTTTGGCACGCCCATATTTCGAGTTGAAAAAAATTATTGAACATTATGATATAATTACGGGTTCAAGATTGGAAACAGTTTTATTTGATAAAAAAGAGTCTGCTGAACATGATAATGTGAATGTTGAGATTTGGAATATTTTATTTAAGCGAGTCGAGTCTGTTGAGAAAAATACAACTTTGGACGCACATGAATTTAAGGAGGTAGGTAATTCAAAGTTAGGGAAGAATAGCATGAGGTGACACTCTCTCTCTGTATCTCTGTCTCTCTCTGTCTCTCTCTCTGTCTCATTTTCTCTATCTCTGTCTCTCTGTCTCTCTCTCTCTCTCTCTGTTTCTCTCTCTCTGTTTCTCTCTCTGTCTCTCTCTCTCTCTCTATGTCTCTCTCTC